TTGTAGGTAACCCACAATGTCAAATGAATACCTTCACAAGTATTAAACATTTGAAAGAAGAAATAGCGATTAAAGTTATATTTTTGGATGTTTTTACTAGCATTAAATTACTAGATGTTTATATCTAAAGAAAATTTACGAGAAAAAATTCCATGTGGACCAGGCAGCAGACGAAACTTCTAACTTGTTTATTATCTCTAATTAAAAAAAATGAAAATTTAACTATTTACCTTTAAATATATCATTACAGTGCGCCTAGTGCGACGACAGCTAGTGTCAGCTAGTTTTCAAGTTTGTAAATTAAAAAAAGAATACCTAGCTAATATTTTTCAAATTAACGTAAGTAAACTACTTTAGGTGGTCTAATATTTCTAAGTGGTTGACGAAAATACTCTACTACATCAAGTACATTGGCAATTTAATTATTATTCAGTATCCAAAAATAGGTAGATAACAAAAAAAACCATAAAAACATTCTTTAAATATCTAACTATTAAAAGACACATAAATATTAAACTAATAAGTCAAGTGACTACCTATTCGCCTTCGCCGGAATACTCATATTCTTACTCTTCTCTACAACATATTGTTCAATCCTAAGTCCCCGCGCTATCTTAAGGAATGTTTTAATTTCCTTCACACTTCTAACATTTTATCTCTTAGGTCATCAGAAAATCTTACCCTCATGACTCCTGTACACAGTACAACTTTTTACAGTCACTCATTTGCAGTTCGAGCCGTTCAGCTGTGGAATTCTCTCCCAGTTTCGATACGACGTGCGGAATCGATCCACATTTTTAAGAATCTCGTGAAGTCCCATTATTTGTCAACTATACTACGTACTACAAACGACTATCATCTATTAACATCTGAAAGGTGTACGTGGTCACACTGGCTCGTACAACTAGGATAGCAATTAAATACCTGACTTCGACAACATTATTTTTGTAAAGTATTCTTTTACATCACATTCACTGCTGGAAAATCTTGTGTCCGAGTTAGCTAGGAGAAATTAAAGCGGCTAGACTTCGCTGGCTCGGACATGTAGAAAGAATCGGAGAGGATTAAGCCGTGAATGAGCGTATTTTGGGCGACCAATAGGACGATGCGACGACCGGTTAGTCGGTCAAAGATACTGCTGGAGCGACGAGGTGCAGCAGAACGACTTTCGATGCCTACTGCCCGGAATCGTAGTGCACGGTGTCATCTTGTGTCTGAGTCCAAGATACTTGGTTCGCAACATGCTCTCGCAAATGGCTCCCAACTTTCAGGAAGAACTTCACAGCAGCAAGCAGGGCGCAGGCAAAATTTTCGTGCACAACCGATCATTATAAAACAAACAAAAGCTCTCACCACCGCAAACAATGGGACCAATCAGCAAATATTTCCCGTTTCGGGCCCGCTCGGCTCCCCCCCCCCCCCCTGCTACCCGCCCACCTGCCACTGGCAACGGGCCGAATCAATCGAGGGCGAAAAAACGACCGATAATATAATAGAATTGAATTATCGCCGAGATGAAGACGCCACCCGGGAGGGAAGTCGGCCACAGTAGACAGAAACCGCCAGTAGGTCAATTACTATCTATGTCTATATCTTTTGCTTTTTTGTTTAAATTTCAAATGTTCGTTTTAAACTTGTTCATGATTGTGGAAATTAATCAACCTTCGAAATGGCCGATCAATGGTTGGGTTTTCGAAAATTTGTTAACCTCTGTGCTTTGGAAGGCACGTTAAGCCGCTGGTCTCATTGGATCTGCAGTCGTTGGTATCCACAAATCCACGTTAGGCCTGCGTTGCTGATTCATAGCCATTTTAAGCACAGGTAGAGATTGTGCACTCGTTGTGGGAACATTTAAAGGCTGATAATGGCCTATACACCAGAAGTAGAATTTTGTAGCAAAAAAACACATCAATTTACACAAAAATATAATATATAGTGAATGAATTAAAAAAGGGAGGAGCTCGATGGCGCAAGTGGTGAGCGCGTTAGACTGAGATCGTTGAAGTTAAGCAACTTTCGCCGTGGTCAGTCATTGGACGGGTGACTAAAAATTGACTATCTTTCGCTCCTCCTTGCTTCGGAAGGCACGTTAAGTCGTTGGTTCCGGCTGCAGCTGCAGACGTTAGCACCCACCAATCAGTAGGGGATCATGGCCCAATCTCCCTATTCCATCCGTAGGGAAGGTCTGTGCCCCAGCAGTGGGAACATTAATAGGCTGATGATGATGATTCATCATAACATTATAGACTACATATATCCGTATATTTCTTGGGCTAATAGCTCAAAGTCTCGATTTAATAAATACGAAGAGGTTAGAGATTGACTACAAAGCGACCAACAACAGAGTTGTCTTACTGTCCTCAACTGTCTTAACAGGCTTGCGAGAAAGGCGTTCGGTCGGCTCCAAAGAGTCAGTAATTCGATTGTGCTCGGTAACAATCGGATGCGGTATAGAGTTGTTTGGCGTGCCCCCCCCCCCCTCTCCCTAGCCCCGCACCACTTCGTCTCTCGGACCCCTTAATGCAATAACGCAAATTGTTACAGATATTTACTTTGCAACAGGTGACAAAACGGATAAACGTTTCTGTTGTTGGCTCCTACTTATTTGCGTGTCGACAGGTGATATTGGATGACCGGTGGGCCCTTATTTTGTAAAATTTTTGCTCTTTTCGCGAACTATTTCGTTGCATATAAAAATGAAAAAGAGATTAGGATAATATGTTACATTGACACACTTGCTCTTTTCCACGATCCTAAAAGGATCGTAGAAAGGTTAAAAAAAATAGATAAATAAATATTTCCAACACTCACACCAATTAGCCTAGTCCCAAAGTAAGCACTATATGCTTTTGTAATGGAATATTAGGGTAACAGATATAATATAAATAAATTAATCTTAATCTACTCGTTAAGTAAGACAAATATTCTAAAAATGATTTTAAAAGCAAAGATGCGCCATAGAGATTGTAAAAAAGTGTTAATATTTTTAAATACAAAACACCTAAATCGTGCGTGCATCATATAACTAACAAAAACCAAAGGATTGGTTATTTATTAGGTAATCGTAAAGCTCAAAAGACTTAAATTCAAACAAAGTGTAAATTCTAGCAAAATAATTCCATACTTTAACCATAGAAACAATAAACAAAAAAAACTGTTTCCCCTTCCCCATGAAAGCATGGGACTTATTGTGAATCGATTTAATTCTACCTTATTGCCTTTAGAAGTTAGCTTCTTACAAATGAGTTTAACTCCGGGTCAAAAGGATGGGCCCTGCGGGAAATAAGTGCAGTTCTCTCCACTACAAGAGGTCGAGCGGAGCCGGGTGGATTGTATGTACACACAGAAGCGTAGATTGCATTGATTGCTCTGCTGGGTTGGCCTTTTAAAGCGCCAGCAAATATTTGTTATTCCAAGGAATCAGCAATAAATAAACTGAGGTAAAAAGCAAGGTTATCATTACATTCAAGTTTAGTGTATTTAGAAAGGATTGCTTTATTTACAAAAAAGATTACGTATTATGTTTCAAAATAATACTTGGTTGTGTAAATTGTATATTAACTACGTAGAGACTCGTAGCGTCTATCCGTAGCACTCGTTGCTACGACACGCGTTTCGTAGCTATAAAGTTATTATACAACTTCGTGTTACGCCATAATAATAACACTTTTATATATAATAATAAATTTCGAAAGCATACTTTTTATGTAGAATATCTCTTATCTATTAGACAAGTCCGTCCGTCTGTCTGTGGTGCTGTTTCAGCGGCCAAACCGTAAGAGATAGATAAAGAGAATATTTAAGTTATAAGTTAAGAATAGTCTGATAAGACTACAAACTGGATTTGAGTAACGTAGCACTTCCGATTTTCGAGAAATCAGGTTTTGGTGAACATTTGGTTCACTGGTTTGCTAGTAATTCAATAATCACACGTTGAAAATTTCAAGAATTTCATATAGTTTGAACTCTAGCGTTTTAAGTTTAGGTACTATTTCGTTAGGACAAATAGTCTAAGAGCTTCACGGGTAACGGATAAAATACATATACTATACATATATAAGTATATTTATATAGAAATACATATTAAACATCAATGACTGGAGTACAAATGCTCGTATTCATCACACTAACATTTACCCCCACCGGGATTCGCGACTTCTCGAGTCGGTGACACCATGAAACCCGGTGCACTCGGCCACGGAAGTCGTCATGAATTAGAGCACTGGACAAGTGAAATAATCTGCACTTTTTAGAAGTGTCCAATAAATAACAGTATTCTTAGACGTGTTCTTTCTTAAACGAATTGAAACAAAAACGGAGGAAAAAGAGAAATAGCGTACCTATTGATTTCCGAAAATGAAATCATAATTAACATCAGGTGAAGTGTATAAGATAGGCCGTAAATCTCTATTTAGTTAAAATATAAGGGCCTATTTCAGTCGACAACACCATAACTTGTGAACGACTTTATCTTTTTCAAAACAAAAAAAAACATTACTACGATATAAAATCAAGACTTTAGAAAAGACGAAGATGACAATGTAATTTTCCTTAGTTATCAAATGGTATGTGGCATGTTACTTAATGAGACAAATGGATTTTAAAATGCAATGACTTTTTTGCTAATAATTAGCAAATGAAATCCAGTCAGTGCGTCACGCTTACATATTTGTTTGATTAGCATTTTATTTCATGTGCAATAACATGCATTAGAACTATGTTAGTTGAACAAGAATTAGGTAATTAACGACTCCAAAAACACTTATCTTCTTGTATTACGAATAAGATCAATTGATTAGTATTGTACAAAAATTTACGTGCTATAAAACATATATAAATACAATCAACAAACTTTAGAAGAAAAAAAGGTTTAAATTTCATTTGTTTGTAAAAATGCACTACATTTTTTGGACATTTTAAGGTCACTTATACCAAAGTTATTAATTTATATTTAAAAGCTTATCCTAGCTTATTCTTTGTTTATTAAAAGGAGCGATTAGTTACTCCTTGTTCTGTCTCTGTTCATTAAATAACAAATAGTATTTAAGTGACAAAAACAAAACACAGCGTTACTAGTCCAAGCTTATTCCTTGTTTATTCATAAGAGTGATTATTTTAAAGCCTGATTCTATCTCTTTTTGATTTTTATTATTTGACAAAGATAGAATGATGTGTTAAACATGATTCAAAGTCGAATTTGAATAGGGGTGATGACGGGGTACAGTAAACGAAATTCTATTTAGTCCGTCAGTTAGATGATCAAAAAATAATGGACACCTATTTTTTCTTTGGGCAATCAACCAAAAAATGACAAAGTCAAAGTTTGGAAGTAGGGGCTCATGACGTTTTAGTGAATATTCGCTTAAAAGTGTACCAATGTACAAATCAATATATCTCTGCAATGTTTATATTATGTGATAAAAGAAAAAATACGTGTCCAATACCTTTTGATAATCTACCTGATAAACGAATAAAAAAAATTAGTCATCATCCCTATTATCAACTTTGGTGCAAGTGTTAGTGGTGCCCGTCAATTATGCCATACTGTTGACTGCATCGTTGTAAAACAAAATATAAAATGCGCGTGATCATCGTGTGTAAATGTAAACACATAAACGCACTTACCCCACTCAACGTTTTGATATTGTGCAAAGCGTCTTGCGCTTTCAACGCCGCTTTGCGAGTGAAAAACGTCACAAAACAGCACCCTGTAACAAACAGAAGCGCACACATAACATAACATACAGTACATGTACCAGTGACACAAAATAAATGCACAGAACAGCAGCCCCATAGAAACAAAAGAAATACGAGATAGATGCAAACATGCAAAACGTACTCGTGTATATTCGGGAGAACGTTGATATAATTAAAAAGGTTAATATCTTCGTATGCATGTTTCTATGAAGCTGCCTTTCTGCATGTTTATTATGTGCCATTAAACGAACACAAAACGTATACAAAGAGCATTGGAAGGATAACAGCAATCCGCAGGTACTACACATCTAATCACAAACTATACGTACAACTCGTAAGCAATGAAAACGACGTTGTCAGCTATTCAAGTCGAAAGCTGCATCGTTGCCACTCAAGTCCATCTCGGCTAGAGATCGCATTGTCCTGAGAATATGCTGAAATCACTGCCTGTATTTTCTTTAATTCTTAAGTACCTATTGTGCCTATCTAATTAAAATCTATACTATCTGATATTTGTCTTGTCTGCTTATACAGAAAGTATTTAAATACAGAACATGCAAACAATTTATTAGGTAGTTAGATGCCATCGAAAATAAATGAACGAATTTTGTTTTTGAGATTGCAATATTTACTATCAAATGAGAGAATCGTTAAAATGTATATATATCTAAGAACGTTTAATAAAAATAAAATAACAGTTACTAAAATACAAGTTTTTTTTTATACAATTTCCCCAAATATCATTTACTAAAAATGAGAAACATTGTATATCAAATAAAACATTTTATCAATAATCACAGTGTTATGCGGTTTGTCGTGTATCGTAAGAATGGGAATACGGACTTAATTCTATGCAATTGATTAGTACGTTCAATTCATAGCCCGGTCTTGATTTTAATTGCTGTCCGTTCAGTTCACGCTAAAGTAACAAACGCTGAATACTAGAAATCTATTCACGTTTCGATGGAAGTCAAAGTTTGCTGGTAGGCACCTCCAAAGCGTTCGAGTTTCATTCAACCAACTTTAGCCATTAATAAAGGCAATCGAATTCCGAATAAGCAATACATTCTCTCTGTTCACAAAAGCAGCATCATTATTCTACGATAAAAAAAACATTGCATATTAATTTATCCTCAAAATGAAATGCAGCTGCGAAGTCAGGCGAATGAAATTATTTTTTCCGCAGCGTAAGCAACCAATATTCTGTTATAAAATGTTGTGCCATCAAAAATTCAATTTTATTAGCCACTGAAATAATAAATATATACACAAACAATATACAGAATATGCTGAAAAGGTTGTCCGCAGGTTGAATACGCAACATTGCCCCGCTACACGAACAAAAGGTTTGTTCTTTCATGAGCACTAACAAAAGGAGCTTTTTTAGACAAAAGACGTTTTACAAAACAAACAAAAATGTCAACACGGAGCGTACATACTCTGGACGGGGTTCAATGCAAAACAATGTCACCGACATGTTATTTAAAAGGTGCACCGGGACCTTACATTATGAAGTTAGGCGTGTTTACATTGCGATGTTTATAATTCCATTTGCCGAGTAAAATGTACGCTTAATTGTTTCAAAAGACGGTTCGCGAAAGTCAACAGCAATGTCTCATCATAAATTCACCGCTGCGCCGAGTGTGATAATTTGTAATAATCTATTCCTTAATGAATTCCAAAAGTTGGAAACTCAATACGGGGCCGTTTTGTCTTGGCGCAAAAACTGTGACTCAGTTCTCTTTTGGCGACATTGTTGAAATACAAAATTAATTTCCTAAGTGTCGAGTCCCTTTCAACTTTAAAGATAGCTTCATCAATATTAATAAACGATTCTGTCGCAAAACATTTTCCGTTAAAATTTATAGTCCATTTTGTTCGGTAACTAGTTCACGAAGGAAATTGAGTGGAATATGTTGAATTTACACCTGAATTTTTACCTATCGTTTATTTAACCATGCAATGTAACTGAAAATGGTTTCTTTTCAAAAACCTCTACTTTTTAAAGCAATTTAACAATCTTAGTTTTAAAATGGTTTAGATAAATTGCGTTGGAATATAGTTATAAAATATTAAATCTTATAAGTATTTATTACTTAAATGTTCCTGATAACACGATGTTGCCTACTTATAGTGCTGCCGAGGGTCGTCATCAAACTATGATCATACAGTCCTTTCAGTAAGACATCGCCCGTCTTTATACGATGTAGTCAACACGCCGACTGACTTTTTAGTTAGTTACATGCGCGCACCCACGTACTGTGCTATCAAAGTGATGGAACTATCGGTCAAAGGTTCAATTGAATACATTTACAATGTATTTGTGGTAGGGAAACTCAAGCGGGGATTTTCGGATTGCCTCCAGAGCGGCAGATTAACTTAAGGAGGGCAACCTTGCTCCTGGAGAAGTACTCCAACTATAACTGAGCTTTCTAAGTAAGGCCGTCTGAGGCAGCAAAAACAAAATTTCAACAAGCGGCCATGGCGTCCAAACCGTCGAATTGAGGTTAAGAATTTCGATACAAGCGTGAATGGTAAAGGATCCAGTGATCCAGTTATGCTTAAATTAAGTAAAAAGTAAAGGAGCTCGATGGCGCAAATGGTTAGCGCGTTCGGTTGCGATCGTTGAAGTTAAGCAACTTTCGCAGTGGACGGTCATTGGATGGGTGACCAAAAATTTAATATCTCGAGCTCTTCTGTGCTTCGGAAGGCACGTTAAGCCGTTGGCCCCGGCTGCATCTGCAGTCGTTAGCACCTACCAATCCGCACTGGGCCCGCGTGGTGGGTCATGGCCCAATCTCCCTATTCCATCCATAGGGAAGGCCTGTGCCCCAGCAGTGGGGACATTAATAGGCTGATGATGATGATGATGATGAAGTTAAAAGTAACCTTTGCTCGCGCCGGTGATCTTGTCCCGCAGCACGTTGATCTGGTGCACCCGGCCGAACTCCTCGAACATCAGCCTGAGGTCGTTTTCGTCCATACTCCGAGGCACCTGACCCACGAACATCTGGAATGCGGAGATTAAAAGTTTAAGTACGAGTATGCATTTAGAACAACTGGGTTGCAAAGTTCTCAAACTGAGGCTAAGTCACGAATTTTGTCACAGCTCCCGTAATCGTATCGTCATCGTAAAATTTTGTATGGAAGAAGCTAGTTTGTACTTACGTCCGGTAGGGGTGTTGCTTAGTTTACATAGAAACTTTGATGATACGATTACGCAGCTGTCAAAGTTCATGCTTGGGCTTCTGGTTCAGATCAGAGACAAACGGATCCGACAGACAGTTAATTTTGTATATAAATGTATATTATAAGGGTTTACGCGCAAAGTCACCGTGTCGCAAAGAGCAAAAAGCTTTTTTTTCTCCCATGAAGGTTTCTTGCATTTTCTTGGCCATAGTGCGCACGCTTCTATGGAATATCACATTTCACAACCTAGTAACGATTTAACTGCAATTTTCTTTTGCATTATTTATTTAAATATTTTTTTTAATAAAGATATGGCTTGATCCTGTTAAACACACAATTCCGTCTTTTTCAATTGTTTTAAGTTAATAGAGCAGGGATAGAAAGATGTTTAAAATAAACAGGACTAGCTTTTGAAAGCGATTTAAAACTGTGGTGCTACTGGGTCACAATATTAAAGCCACACCTTTTTATTAGGGCACTTCGCGCACTAGACGGTCACGATTACGGCTAGTGGCTGCGACGATCAGATTAACTATAGAAACATTACGAACATCACGCATTTGGTGGCCGCAACGGGCAAATTTAGATAATCTGATCGTTGCGGCCACTTGCCCAGGGGGTGAACGGTAACCTATCAAACTGAGGCTTTCTTTTAATAAGGCTTAGAAAATCTACATCTCAATCTTATTATAATTAAAATCGCATCAGAAACATAGTAAGAAAAGTGCGAAGTATCGATCGAAATTTAGTTTTTCGTTGAATTAAGAATATACCTCCTTGGTCGTGGCAGTCTAGTGCGCGAGATGCCTCATGGATCGTGATGCGACACACCAACCTCAGTTGTCGAGTTAGGGCTAGCGCATATATATAACTTTTAGTTGAACAACAATTTTGTTGTTTATCGTATGTATATAGCAATATATTGAAGCGCACATACTGTCAACTCGATAGTTGCTCAACAAAAAAGTCAAAAAGCTGTATCGATCTGCTTTTGATTAATAAGTTGGACAACTATCGATCAAACGCTCAATTTGTATTGCATTGTATTGATGTGCACATACCATCGACTAAACAGTCGATCCGCGACTGTCAGTCTCGCATGCTTATTTGGAGCGGTGCCACGTCTCTTGTCACCATGGCGGGCTTTGCGGGAACTATTACGGACGACACGAAGGAGTTTATTTATAGTGCAGAAAAAAGGCCTGTACTTTACTTAAAGAGTCTAAAAGAGTATTCAGACATAAGTTTGAAGAAAAAGCTATGGGAGGAGTATGCATAAAATAAAAGAAAACTAGGTAATTTTCATACTAGGCATTGCTAAATAAAGACTGGTCGAATTGAGGAGATAAAAAAATCGATGATCGACTGCATCAATTGTATGCGTACCTCTATCAACTAAACGGTTTAGTTGTGTGGAAATCACGAGAACTACAAAACGCGACAAAATAGTTTAGTCGATGCAAAAGTTGTATATATGCGCTAGCCCTTCTGCTTTCCCATTTTGCTTCAATGACACGACTTTAATTAATTATGGTGCAGTGGAAAGTCCCATCGAATGCATTTTGATTATGTTTCGCTAGCGAGTGCAGCGAAATCCATTGTATGTATGTATTGCATAATTAAACAAAGAAGAGCTCCATATTTGTTTTCAGTTGAGGATTTTCCGGCATCCCTTTATGAAGTAGCTTGCTATGGCATTAATGATATTTCTGGGAAACCGGCATTTGTACTTTAGTATAAAATTACAGAGCGAGGAGAAGAGGAGGAGCTCGATGGCGTTAGTGGTTAGCACGTTGGGCTGCGATCGTTGAAGTTAAGCAACTTTCGCAGTGGCCGGTCTTTGGATGGGTGACTAAAAATTTACTATCTCGAGCTCCTCCGTGCTTCGGAAGGCACGTTAAGCCGTTGGTCCCGGCTGTATCTGCTGTCGTTAGGACCCACCAATCCGCACTGGGCCCGCGTGGTGGGTCATGGTCCAATCTCCCTATTCCATCCATAGGGAAGGCCTGTACCCCAGCAGTGGGGACATAAATAGACTTATGATGATGATAAAATTACAACATGTGACAATAAAATAAAAATTAAGTGACAGATGATTCCAAATAAACACTATTATTATATGAGGTTTTTGGCTTTTATATATTACTAGCGGCCCGCCCTCGCTTCGCTTCGGTGTAGAGATGAAGTGTAGACTACAGTTTTTGTTCTCAGGCTTGTATTATACACAATGACATTCATCTATGATTCTTCTTATACCTGCATGCAAAGTCTCAGCCTGATCGGTTTAAAATTTACAAAGTTTCATACAAACTTTCATTCCCTATTTCATCCCCTTAGGGGTAGAATTGATTAAAATCCTTTCTTAGCGGATGCCTACGTCATAACATCTACCTACATGCCAAATTTCAGCCCAATCCGTCCAGTGGTTTGGGCTGTGCGTTGATAGATCACTATGTCAGTCAGTCACCTTTGAGTTTTATATATAGCAAACGTAAGAAAGGTTGCTGTACAGCACCTATGAAATAAATATGTTTATCAACCTCATCAAATTCATCAAAGTACTGAAATACTCCACGAACGTTCCAAAAAAGTTTCTGTGATTATGATCTTAAATGATCACATGTCGATAAACAGCCTTATATAACATTGTTTTGGGTTGTCATACAAAAAAAAGTTGCGTAAATGGATTTTGTTTTCTATTGATATTAAAACTACGGAGGATGGCAAGGCAATGCGTTTCGTATAAGAATTTGTTGCTTCTTATAGAAACCATTTTTTTTAAGGTAAATACACCTTTAATAATATTAGTAATATTTTTTCTTGAACCTGGTCCTTTTCTGCATTCCTCGTTATTTTTATGAAGTTATTGAAAAAATAATCGCTCTAAAAGAAATATTGCATCCTATTATTATTTTATAATAACTTACTAAATATTTCTTTTGGTCAATAACTGGTAACTGAATGGGAAATAAACACAGCTAATGTTCACAGTAGAAATTCTAAATTCTGCGACTATAGTGAATTAAGATGATATTAAACAAAGCCAAAAGTAAGAAATTAACGTCACTTTGCCTGTTATAACGTTTATTTAATATGAGCAAAGTAATTTCGAACGTCGACATTCGGTTAATCTTACAGAACACGCGAGTCAAACCATCCAATATTCCGGCTTATCTGTCCTCGTCTGCCTATTAGAACTAATTATGTTGAATTTTATTGTTCTTAAATTTATTTTATATATATATTTATTTTATAACGAAGAAGACGGAATACGAATATACATTTATGTAAATAATTTATTTACATAAGTTTTCTTTTGGTTTAACTTATAACTTATTTTTTTAAACACACACCAATTAGCCTAGCCTCAAAGTAAGCACTGTCAGGCTGTGTCATGGGATACTAGGCTATCGGATAGAATACATATATTGTACATAAATAATTATATTTATATAGAAATACATATTAAACATCCATGACTGGAGTACAAATGCTCGTATTCATCACACAAACATCTGCCCTCACCGGGATTCGAACCCAGGACCTCTCGAGTCGGCGACACCATGAAACCCGGCGTACAAACCACTCGGCCACGGAGGTATACTATAGTAGGAGTGCGGAATACCAATAATAAATGAATACCACTGTATGTTTAATTAAATTTCGCTTTTTTATATTCAAAATGAATATATTGACAATTTAATAATGGTCAATCGAGATTAAATTGGTGTTAATAATTCAACAAATAAAATAAGCTTTCATTTTTTTTTATTTTATACAAGTATAGTGTGTATAATATATGTCATCAAAAGGATATTATTTTTTTTTTGGTAGAAATTTTACAACAAATTACACCACTCCACCAGATGTTAAGTGTAAGTGGAGTCCAGTTGCGACGGTAAACGATGCGGTAGAAGGTGTGCCGCTCCAGTCATCCTCACCGTCCTGAACCCAAGCCCCACCCCCATGGAGCCCTAGTACCATCAAAAACACCACAAGGTATTAACTTACCTTACTTAAGGTAAGGTAGTAAAATGCATATGATTTATCAATAGCCCAACTAGTAAGTCTGTAAACGATCGCCCTACATATAGTGTCATCATCATCATCAGCCTATTAATGTCCCCACTGCTGGGGCACAAGCCTTCCCTACGGATGGAATAGGGAGTTAAGGCCATTACCCACCACGCGGGCTCAGTGCGGATTCGTGGGTGCTAACGACTGCAGATGCAGCTGGGACCAACGGCTTAACGTGCCTTCCGATAAACGGAGGAGCTCGAGATAGTAAATTTTTGGTCACCCATCCAATGACCGACCACTGCGAAAGCTGCTTAACTTCAACGATTGCAGCCGAACGCGCTAACCACTTGCGCCATCGAGCTCCCATATAAAGTGTATTTTAATAAAATTATTAATCAACTCTCCTTTGAATAATACGGTATGGTATTGTTACCGTGTTTTATTGTTAACGTGTTTGTAAACGGTAATATAGATATTGACGTACGTACTCAAATGAATATGATAAGATATCCAGTAAGTATTATACAGTACAATAATCATAGAATAAATAATCATAAAAACTCAACACAAATAATACACATACATAAACTACTATCATGGTTGAGACATCTTCATTTAGATAAATTACACATTATTACAAAAATCATTACGATTCTATTTAAAAAAAAGGTAGGCAGGCAACGCGTGAGTGATAGTTTTGTATTGCAAGCTCCTACAGGTCATGGTGGTCATTTTCGAGTAGTCTAGAGGCTCCAGACGGAGAGGAGACTCCCCCCGTGGGGAGATGCCATCGGCCTGGAATCTCTCTAGAGGCACTCGCCAATTCTCGGCTTGCGGTCCCCTTAGGATCTTGCCGTCCCCAAACCCGGTGACGCTGTAAAGGTCATCGGCGACCAACAAAAAAAAGAAAACTACCAAGTGGACTATTAGGAGATTTAAATAAAAAATAAGTATTGATCAGGAATTAATTCTTAAAAAATTGGCGACAAGTTGACTTTCTATCATCTTTAAAAAAAACAAAAGTATTTTTTGTCACTTTTAGCAAACTGCGGGCTAAAGTTGATCAATAGTCAATTTCATGCTATTTTGTCTGTTTAAAATTTTTTAAGCGCTATCAGAATTTTTAGCAACATTCATTTAGTTCGAGGTAAAAATGCTTACATTTTTTATTACCAATTGTATTACTGATCTACCATTCGATTCAAACCTACTTACTACTCAGCACAATACCTACAAATGAAGTACAATGCAACCGAACTCAAAATCGTTTCACGAAGTTAGTACTTGTGTTCTTTAAAAAAAAGAGGTTTAATTAGAGGAGAATGTGTTCTCGTCAGAATTGTCTCTATTCAACATTCGAGACTGGATGCACTTGCACAACACAGGTGTGACGTCAAACAGTGAAGCACCCGAGTTCGCGGCGCCTGTATGATGCAAATGAGTCTTTATGCAAAATGAAGTTCTGCCTGACGTATACGAGCTAATGTGGTATACATTAGCTGTTGTCAGTGCAGTTATGTGGATTAATTTAAAGGCGACCCTTGCCTTCATACAATAGATTTATTTCGACTACCGCAAATGTCTATATGGTTACCATCTGATGGGATATATAATTTTATTTGCCATCCTTTTTACACAAAAAAGGTCATAAAAACTATGATTGTATCCTTTGATCCGGGGAGCTGAAAGGGCTAGAGTGTACACGTTCATAATACGTTTCATTTTTAAAATCTCAAATTGAAGAAATATGAAAAAAATAAATCCTAAATTATTTTGGAGATTTAAGTAAAATAGAACATAGATATTGAATGTCAATCATCAGTTGAATTACAGAAAGAGGGTAGAAGGAACCTCTTTCTGTGTTCTGTGAGTTTATTAATGGTACGCTCTTCCCTATGGATGGAGTTGTAAATTCAAATTCAAATTCAAATTCAAATTCAAATTCTTTATTGCATAGTTACATGGTTAAAAGATGACAATTTAGTAATATATTATAATAGTACATGTGACACCCTGCAAGGGTGTTTGCAATTTATTTATACATAAACATAATTAATAAAAATATTTAATACAATTATATCCGTTGAACAAGAACGTATAAATTTATTTTAAGCATTTAACTGCTAGATTTATAATTGTAAAGTAATTATTATTATTATTTTTAATAGAAAAAAAAACAAAAATATAATGATTCCAAATATATGATAACATTTAGATATTATTAGAGTGTACAACTATTATATTAACTAGAATTTTATTCAAGTATTAATTATATTATTATTAATTTGTTACATTATTATTAATATTTATTATATTATAAAAAAATGTCATTAAAACATTCAGAAATATTATAGTAACTTTTATTTATTAGAAAATTTTTAAGCTGTTTTTCAAATATTTTATTTTCAGTTGTACATTTTAAACTATTTGGTAGATGGTTGTATGTTATGTGGAGGATGTATACTTCACATTCTTCAATAATTTTATTCAATCTTTCATGTCTTAGGGCACTTGTTAACGAGATGGTTATCCGCCCGCTCTAGGAACGGTTTTAACAGCCGGCGCTGCGTTAAGCGAAAGCACGGAGCGGGCGACTGCCCCGCGTATTTTCACCCGACTGCGTAATGTAAGAGCGCGAAGCGCGACGCGCAGACAGGGTATAGTGTTTAACAGTTTATATATGTATGTTTGTTCCTTTGTGGCACACTAGAGACCAAACGCCTGGACCGATTTTTTTTTCATATCATTTCATGCAGTGCTGCTTACTTTGTTGGGACTGAACTAATCAGTGTGAGTGTACGAAATATTTATTTAGTTAAGTATAGTTTTTGTTTTAAGCATTTAACTGCTGCATTTTTAAATCTTAAGACAATGTTATTCCAAAAAAATGGCGCTGCTTTGCAGCCTTAGAAATACTAGCGGAAATTAGAGGCATAAAGGTCAGTGCGGGTTCGGGTCCCGTCTGCTGCCTGGTCAGTGTGGATTTTTTTCTAATAGCATTTTCTTTAATATGTATTAATTTAATTACCTTGATGTAATCGGGGTCAGGCATGTCAGGCTTCTCCTCATTGTTGTTGTTGTTGCTGATGTTGTTGTTCAAGCTGGTGTTGTTGTTATTGTTGTTGATGTTCATGTTCAACCCACTGCAACAAAAGAGACATTTTTATTAATTATCTTATACATTTTTAAATAAATTCGTTCCGTAACGGTCACCAATGAAGAAATATTTTTGTTTGTCTGTTTTTAAAGCCAAAGATTATTCTTAAGATGCGGCTAAACGGGTCATACTTTTCGGAAGTTTGTGACTGCAACGCAATGGCCGGACTAATTTCAATCAATACCAGTCATACGTAAACATGTTTAAGGTATAGCCTGGTGTCGCGATCACCCCCGCACTCCTGGTTTGCATTGAAGGGACCGCGGTCCTAAAAATGTTTGCCGGGTGACCGGTACAGGAGCATGTTTCTACTGGCCCTATTCAGGGCGTTTGGTATAGCCCTGCTCATTTCATCGAGACTCAGGGCTGGCTGAAATGAGCAAGTAGGAGTCACAGATACCTTATTCTCGCTCCTCCGGTGTTTGAAGCATGCGTAAAGCATTTCCCAGACACAAAAAAAGGTATGGCTCGGTAATTATAGCCACACATTTTTTGTAAAGCCATATATTTTCATGTGTAGCCGGCGTGTTGCCGATGATCGCTTCACAATTGTAAATAGAGCAATAATGCCGGGTTATATACGTTGTCTCATTTTGCGGTATATGTGCACCCCCTTTTTTCAAGCATCACTCATGGGTCCGAGGCATCGGGAATCGCATGCCTCATGTTTGTGTCTTTTTTTTAAATGTTTGGCCCAATTTTGAATGTCTAATATACAACACAACATGTCAAATTTGAATGTCTAATATACAATTAGACATTCAAAGTTACCCTTAAACCCCTGAAAAAGTTTTGTATAAATATTTATCAAGAAATAATTCTTGACTTCAGTTATCCAAAGCATTACGCTTATTGATATAAGGTTAATCTCTTTTGGCGTCTTTAATTTCGTTTAAGTTTTTTCTTTTAAAACAATGAAAGTGGCTGCGATATGTGTGACTTGATTTGATATTGTTGTAGAATTGTGTAGCCCGTTTATGCATCACCGGCCATACTATTGCAGACAAATTGAAATTACCTAGCCCATCCATTAATTGCTATGAAATATTTTTGTGATGGCAGGGCTATTAATTGAATTAATTGTCAATGATGCAGCCACAAAATTGCAATTAAAACTTAACCCGTTTAGGGGGTAAGTGGTAAGAAAAAAATTAATTATCTGCCTTTCTGTAGTCAATTAGATTGCACCTAAATTCGACATATCGATGTCACACTTTAATATTTAAATTATTTGAGCGATTTTGATGAAATTTGGAGTGAAATACTATAAACGAAGCTCCAATCACTAGTATAACCTAAAGTTAAAATAGAGAGAATCATTTAAATTATCAATATTCAAATAATTATTATATTTTAAATGTGATCATCATATCGGATCTATAGAAAATAAATTACTTAAATCGAACATAAATGACCCCAATCTTATGAAACAGAAAAACGTAAATCAATTAGTAAAAAAGAACATATTTTTCTTTCTGTTAAGAAAAAATCTGTAACCGAAGACGTGAATAAAAATTCGTATGAGCAACCGATTAAGTATTCAAATGTATGAAATTGGTACATACTAAAGCATCACGTCCCATTTTCAAAATACATATTAACATATAACAAAAAGCCTTTTTCGTGGTCGATTGAATCAATACAGGCACGGAGGACCGTAAAAGGGGTACGACGGCGCGGCGTTTAAAATCTCCCATTTGTGTAAATAAAATTTTTATCACATGAGTAAAGAAGGTGCAGAGATACAGCTTCATGATTTTTGCACGTTTATGAGTGGGTACTGGCGGCTGTCGCGTACGCAGCGAAACTATTGGCTGCAACAGGCCTCCAGTGCTCACTCAGTCACGCGTGCTGCATGAAGTTTTGCCTTTGCATCTACCTTCATCATCATGAGCCTATTAATCTCCCCACTGCAGGGGCACAGGCCTTCAATATAGATGGAATAGAGAAAATAGGCCGTGACCTACCACGCGGTTCTAGTGTGGATCGGTGGGTGCTAACGACTGCAGATTGAGCAGGGACCAATAGCTTAACGTGCTTTCCGAAGCACGGAGGACCTCGAGATAATAATATGTTTTTGGTCACTGGCTAATGACCGACCAAATTGCTTAACTTTGCAGGCCGAATGGGCCGACCACATGCGTCATCGAGCTCCTCTGTACTTTTTTACTCATGTGTTTTTATTGTGTTCGAATACATCGCAACCGTGTTAATCTCGATAACACGTAAATCAAGCCTTTTTTGCGTACGGCCGCTGTTCAGAGATAATCCATTATTCCTATCTATTCAATGAAATCTAAACGGGCATGTCGCGGAGGTTATTACGGTCTTTTATTTTTCAAATCCAATTCGATTTAGGTCGAGTAGCTCCAGCTTCGATCAACAATTCTATAAATAACGGGTTGCATACAAAATTAAAGCTAAAAACTGTCCGCGTATGTTTAAACTTATGCAGCTACATCCGATTCCCAACGGACAAAGATAAATGTTTTTAAAGAGTTTAATTTGAACCTAATAACAACTATCTCACAAACGATAATATAGGTTACAAATTAGAAAATGTTGTTTCGCACATACGACCTTTTTATCTTATATAACAAACTCTTGTTTCTTTTATAAATTGTATCTGATACTTGGAAAAAAAAGTTGAAAATAGGAAAAGTGAAATCAACTTCATGTCCCACAAACTTAGATTAAAACAAAAAGGGAAGATACGGCACATGGCATTGTGGTGCATGATCATAATTCGCTTTAGTCACAATTGGACATTCAAGCACGCTGCACGTCAATATAACAATATTGCGTATATTTTGTGTTATAAAGATAAAATAATGCAATCGATGCTTTTATAAAGTACACAGATAGTACAAAATCAAATAACAAATGCCTCGGCAACACTTTTCATTCGTAAACCGTAAAAACATTTTTTCTCATAAATCACTGTTTGTCGTGAATGTTATTTACGTAATCGCCATTTTGTTATCAAGAAAAGGACAACAATACAGCTCAGCCGTGCGGACTCGGAAGCCAACTCGACTTTTCGCTCGCGCTGCGTTGAAGCGTACAGTTCTGTCTCGCTCACTCGATTGAATGTTTATTTATGGGAGTTCCTTATGTGGTTGAGTCGGAGCATATTTTATTTGAAGCAGCGAGTTACTTCGTTTTGTATTAACCGTTATCTATAGAATTGTTGATCGAAGAGCTCCAGTTACTGACAAAGTTTTACATATAGGTATGTGAAAAAAATCTATATATTATCATCCATCACGCTGGATCATGTAAAATTGTATAAATCAATACTGCAACACAATGAGATATAAGTAAATGTCTAAACTTTAAATTGCGTTTCACACCGTAACAACGTTAAAGATTTTATCATTGCTGATAGCATTGATAAGATAACAAATAATAACCTATATTGGACTTAGTACAATAACTTTATATTTTTCATGTTTTCTCACGTTTAGATTTGTGGAATTTAGGCTTTTTTTAAAGTCCAGATATCCGATGGGTGAGCGAATATAACAGAACAAGCTTCTTGGTGCTTGGAAAGTCCCAGGTGCTTAATTACAGGTCGTTAGCGCCCACCATTTTGTATTGAGTTGTGTGGTGGTACATTAAAGATTATTACACTAGCATTTGTTGGTGTTGTAATTTGAAATTCTGTCGGTGAGTTATGTTTCGAGGGATTCATAAGGTAGCAAATGAGTTTGAGGTTGATAAAAACTGTGAAACTATGGTATCGCAAAAATATTGACCGCTACGATCATGACATCGCACGTCACAAACAATAGGGTATTAAGTCGGCAAAACCATTTATTTTTTTATTTGCGTATCGAAAACTTCCTTTTTTCTCTCTATAAACTGGTAAGATAATTGTATTTTAATTCGAAATAGTTTTTGAATTATAGCAACACATGTCGTCAATTTCTAGGCAAAATTTATGATTGTGCGTATTCTAAACAGTATTAAGTTAAGTTAATACCCTATTGCCCGTTCGGATTAATACAAGTTTGAAGTTTTATTTAAAATAATACCCTCTGGCCTGTTCAATTTTATTTAATAAGTTATTTTCAGCGAAATTATTTTAAAATGATACTAGTTTTAATTTTAACATGAGCCATTTGAACTGCTTATAGACAAACTCTTTACCTGTACCCACTCACATAAAAGTACTTTTAAAATAAAAACTACTATTGATTCACTAACTGAACTTACTCAACACAAAGAAGGATAATGTACGTTTAAATCAAGGTATCATTTTAAACATTTGAACAAGTAGTTCCGCTTCTATGATTTTTTAAAACTTCAAAACGCGACATCTCAAAACACTGTTTTTGAAGATAATAATACCCTTTTGTTTGTGACGTGCGACATGTTTTTCAACTACTATATTATCGCCAGGACATAAATTTCTTCAAGCTAAGACTTTCAATCTTTCAAAGGGAGCTGGATGGCGCAAGTGGTTAGCGCGTTCGGCTGCGATTATTGAAGCTAAGCAACTTTCGCAGTGGTCGGTCATTGGATGGGTGAACAAATATTTACTATCTCGAGCTCCTCCGTGCTTCGGAAGGTACGTTAAGCCGTTGGTCCCGGCTGTATCTGCAATCGTAAGCACCCACCAATCCGCACTGGGCCCGCGTGGTGGGTAATAGCCCAAACTCTTTATTCCATCCATAGGGAAGGCCTGTGCCCCAGCAGTAGGGACAATAATAGGCTGATGATGAAGACTTTCAATGGAATAAAAAGTCAATGACACTAGTTATTGCCACACCTACGTAGTCATGGTATAAACAATTTTAGTATAAAATCTTCTATAACCACTTAATTATACTACTTATATAATAAATGTGACTTTCCAGGATAAAAATGTATCCTATGTCTCAATTTAGGTCATATACTATATGTGTGCCAAATTTCCTCAAAATCTGTTCAGTTTTTGCGTGATTAACTTTTCATTTCAATTGTCTCAGAGGAAGTTGAATA